ACTCTCCTGTGCCTCCGCAGCTGGAAGCAGCCCCCGTGCAAAGAGATTTATTCCTCCTCAGCCTCTCCCTGCAGCCGCCCGAGAGAGCAGCCTGGATGGGGATCACCGGGAATGGGCCTGGCCACAGAGCCTGCCCTCTTTAACGTTTGGTTTTTGGGTTTTTTTTTTTTACTGGAGCTACAGCCATAATATAAAAGTCTGTTTATGGGACCCGGCTATTGTGCGGCCCCCGAGCTGCACTGCCCGTGAAATGTTTTACTGCTTTCCCGTGTTTCCAGACGAGCCGCGGGGTCTGGCTCCCGGAGCCTTAACCCTGTGTTTCAGCCAAGGGGGACGGGCAGCGTGACAGCCCCCAGGCCCTGCGGCCCCCAGGGCACAGCCCGGCTGGTGGGGGGTCCCATGCACCCACGGCTTCCCGCAGCCAGCTCCGGCACCCCCCAGCTTCTCAGGGGTGCCAGACCCGGCACCCTCCAGCTTCTCAGGGGTGCCAGACCCATTCCCCCGACCTGGCTTTTGAGGTGGGGAGAGTAATGGGGGGCTTTAGGGCAGCAATCGATAACTTTCCTATTTTCATTGCAGGCTTGTGCCATTTTCTAGGTACGTGCCAGTCTTGTGTCTGGCAGGCAAAAGCAATGAAGCAGCTTGGTTCTCCTCTGCTTTAAGTCATATTGATACGATTAAATTGTACTTTTTTAAAAGAAAACTCAGTGTACTTTTAAATGAGGAGCCCCTGCCACCGCCGCCGTCGCACGGCACATCTCGACCCCCTCCGGCAGCAGCGCCCGCCGCTTGCCCTGGCACCAGGCTGCACTTTTGCCCAGAGCTTCGCAAACATCCTGCAAATCACCGGTGATGCCCAACCCCAAAACGGACCTGGCCACGCTACGCGCCTGGTCACCAATGACTCAGGCGGCGGCAGGGATTCAGTCCCGGCTCTGCCCGACCTGCGGGGATGCAGCCGCTGGCACGGACCAGGAGCCCGGCAGCGAGGCGAGAAAGGCAAAGGGTCGTTTTTGGGGTCACGCTGGACTCAGCGATGCTGCACCTATTGCCATCATGGAAGCGGCCGGGTCAGTGACGGGACTGTTTCACCCTCCCAAATGCAGATCCAGGCAGTGCTGGGGGCAGCTCTGATTTTTGGGCTGCCACTCAAATTGTCCCTAAAGTGTTAATCTTGCTAAGTTACAGAGGTGCATAGTTTATATCCATTATAAACCTGTTTATGGGGACTGGACCCTCCCATTTCGCTGCTGTCATAAAGTTCTAATTACCCCCCATAAAACTGGGAAAAGCTCCTAACAGCGCACTGTACCCACAGAGCCCCACAATGCACCCAACAGTAAAATATTACAACCGCTGGCACCGGCTCCGCAGTCAGAACCAGCACACACGCCAGGGAACAACGTGTAGGATCCAGATATAAACCGAAGAACCTCTGGACCGAGGGTTTATTGACGGGGTCTTCTTTAAGAAAAAGTTAAAACACTTAAATTGCCCTTTGGGTTTAGGAAGAATCTCAGGGGTGGTACTGAGTTATTTTTGTTATCTCCATTTATAGAGATATCTAAAAATATATATAAGTAATGTATATCCATCTATACACACACACACATATATATGCATACATGATTGCTCTGATATTGCTCTGCTACTCTGATATTTGCAGAGCAGGTACTGATGGATGGATGGATGGACGCCCCGACCACCTCCGGAACGGGCTGGAGGCAATGCTGCGACCCCCGGCCGCGGGGACGGGGCTTTGCGGGTCTGACGGGCGCCGGCCGGCCCTTTGTATGCAGGGCGGGAGGCAGGGGGCGGCTGGCGAGCAGGGTGGTGCGTCACCTAATCTCATCAATGCGCTGATTGTCTTCGGGGCTCTTGAAGATAAAAATGGCATAAGCCAGAGTCTATGGCATGGCACCAAGATAAAGCCCCGAGTGACCTTCAAATCAAACAGGGAACCAAGATCGCTGATAATACCCCATAGGAAGGGAAAAGTCCAGAGTCTGAAAGAAGCCTCTGAGATAGATAGGCTTTAAGTATTTACCTCCAAATAGTTAAAAACTACGGCTTGAGGCTTGACAGATGGGTCCCCAAGAAGAGGCTGAGAGGATGTTTGACTTTTACAGCTCTTAGCCCTGCCCGGCCGTCATTACGCCCTTTCGCAAAACCCCATTGACGTCCCGAGGAGCAGGCGATCCCTCTTTGTCTGCGGGCACGGGAGCGATTTTGCAGCTGCCCCATGCCGCCAGCCCCATCGTTTCCTGCCGGGGGACGTCACGGGGGGGACGGGGCCACGCAGGGGTAGGACACGGGCAGCGTCCCAGCGCCGTCATTAAGCTGTTAAGGCATTGAGCGCTCCAGACGCCGCCGCACGCGGTGCAAGGGCAGTTCAAATCCCAGCATGGCCAGCCCCGGATGGGGTCAGCCAGGCATCGGGGCCAGCCCCACCGGCACTGCCCCGCACCCCGCTGAGGCAGCGGGTCCCCAAACGTCTCTTGAAGGAGCTTTAAGCAGCGATGGACCCAGTGATGTTTTGGGAGCTGCAAGCCTGCTGGACCCGGTTGGGTCGAAGTGACCCCAAAGCAGCCAAGGCTGAGCTCCATCCCTCCCGATCGCCCCCAAAGCAGCCCTAAAACCCCTCGGTGGCCCTCACCATGCCCGTCTCCTCCTCCTCAGCAAGGCCGATGGATACAAGCGCCGACCACCGGCAAATTCCCGCGGCCGAGCCCTCCTGACCCCTCCCGA